AAAGGTTTAATGTCTGATTTGGTTCCTCAAATTTTTGATTTCTTACATTTTGGTCCCTAATTATTTTCCTATATTAGAAAGCTGATTTGGTCTATACTAGTTGAAAATTGCATTTTTTTAAAAATATTTTTTTCTGGATGTTAAATGAAAACTCTAAGATATTTTAGAAATTAAAATTAGAATGGAAGTCTTCTCAATTTATAGAGTGAAATATTTGAGAATTTCACATAAAAAAATAAAATGGCCCATTTAAATTTAAATAGGTTATGAATTTAATTCAAAATCCAACTGTCAAGCTGAACATGGAAGTCCATCCTTATTGAAAAATCCCCCAAAGAAGATGACATCACTAGCCAATCACCTAGACTCATACCCTTTTTTGATTGGGAGGCAATCCAATCCGTTGCACTACCATTGGCACTTCTTTTGATCAAAACTGTCATTTTCCCCAAAATTGTCATTTTCTTTTTAGCAAGGACAAAAAATTTATTAAGGTGACACAAGGGGTATCTTACCCATTACGTTTTTGCTTATAGAACGCATGGTGTTTCCCACAGCTCAAAATAGTCAATGTGACATATTAAGAGCAATGCTCAAGGTCAAAACTATCACTACATACATTTTAATTTATTAACTAATTGATGGGGTTGATAAAAAGAAGTTAAGAGAAATGCTACTTGTGGAGTGCATTTTTTTAAAAAATAAAAAAATTTAAAGGGACCAATGGGATGAAGAGTACTCACTCCTAAAATACAGAGTTTTAGCAACATGGATCTATTTTGTTAAAAGCCTCTTTTATGAAGGTAAAAATGCCTTTGCTTTGTAAGGCTTATGGGTGAAGGTCTTGTGACAATTGGGTCCCTTAGGAAAAGAATTAGCAATGTGAATTGCACTTGTAGAAGAATATTTCACTTTCACTCATATGATATTTAATGTTATTTAATGATCTTTGGAGCACTTGGCCGAAATCCTCAAACACAAAAAACAAGGTAAATCACATGGGTAAATCTTCTTTTTCACCCACATGGACTTTATTGCTATCTAAAAGTGCGTGAACGGTTCCATCTAACTCCAATTGACATTGTACGTGATATCATACTTAATATTGCAATTGGTTCTATGTGGATGAATCTTATATTTCACCCACATAGATTTTATTGTTACATAAAGGTGTGTAAGAGTATTCTAGAGTTTGTATACTTTATTACCCACATAGGACACAATGCTACACCAACATTTACTGACATGAGCCAAAATGTTAAAATCTATTATAGGAAAAAAAAAAAAGACATGTACCCATGTGAGCTAAAATGCTAAGTATCTATTCCAAAAAAAAAAAAAAATTGAAATATTCATAAACCAAATTTGATATCCATTTATATCACTGAAATAGGCATCAAATAGGATGAATGACATACAATAATTATGTTTATTGAATAACTCAATATTTCCATATATAAGTAATTGTAAAATAAAATTAATTCATTTATATATATAATGAAATTGAAAGAATAATCAACAAGTAAATAAACTAAAAATTAAATGTAAAAATTCAATCAAATTCATAAAATCCAACAACATACCTTTCAAAAATTATGAAAATTTCAACAATTATTAGCGCTTACAAAAAAATTACAAGATAAGTTTGAATTTAAGTGGAAAAAAAACGTTACAAATGACCAAAAGATAAAACAAAATGAGAAACTTAATCAATTCAAAAACCATGAATTAGGAACAATATTCCACCTACAAAACCAAAGCAAATTCATTTGAGGATATGAAACAATATTTAACCAACATCACATTTTCATAAAATTTGGGGCAAAGATGAAAATTAATTAAATTTGATGAAATTCAAAGGGAAAAGGATTTTCACCAATCAAAATCAAAACATTAACCTATAAAATCAGGAAAGAAAAAAAAATTTTAATCATTGCCCAACTTCAACTCATTAATAAGCAAAATTTAAAAGGAAAAAAATGAAAAATGTTAAAATAACAAAATAGTAATATAAATGTGATATGTTATGGTCATAGTTGAAGGAAAATTGGTTATCTAAAGCCATAAAAAGTAACAATTGAACCAAAGAAAGGCAAAAAAGAATGAGGAGGAAGAAGGAGAAGACAAATGCAAGGGGCTTTTGTTATTTTATGATACATATACTGCAATCTAACATGCCATACTACATAGATAAAACTTAGAATAACTTTTACCCATGTGGAATACAATGCTCTATAAGGTCAAAAAGGTGCTTAACAAAATAATGTGCATAAAGCTCAACATTGCATAGCACATGGGTAAAAGTATTCTAGATTTTACCCATATGAGGTGTAATGTTATTTACGGGTAACAAATGCCTCCACAAAAAATTTAAAAATTTTACATGATTGGGGAGTTTAAAATATTTTCACCAAATCACCCACGTATAACCTATTGCTACATTAAACCATCACCCATGTAAGATGTAATGTTACCTTAAAATTGTCCAAAACACTTCCTACCTTTGAATATCTTGGCAAATATCGACGTGCCATGCATTGTTATATATATCAACAACATGGATGTCATCTCTAAACACTAATTCCTTAGTCGCTTCTCAAAATTAACAAATAGACATGACGATTTTGTTTTCTCATTCTCTTAAAATGCCCTAACTTAACAATGACAAAGGAAGACATCAATATTTTTACCAAGGTTTTTAAGACCAACAATAACTAAAGTTAGGAATGTAAACTTAGGTCTTATGCATATGTTGGGTGGAAGGTTTTAAACTGTAAAGAAATAGGCCAACGAGAGTAAGCAATGATTGAATGACCCCATGGGTTAAATCCATCTGTGGTGAGGCCCAATTGAACATTATGTGGTTCTTGGGTGAATCATGGATGCGTTCAATCAAAGTGCCTACATGCTTTAGATTGCATAGGATGAATGAGGACATCTATTTCATCATGGCATTTTAGGTTCCATGCCATATGCTTAGCCATTTTTTGAGACATGTTTAGCCTCTAAAGCTAAGGAATGATTTGAAAGTACTACAATGAATTTTTTGGGATGTCCTTTTGTTGTTTTCGTGCTTAGTTGCTCTACTTAAACCTTGCTTCGCCACAATTTGTTTGCTCCCCATAATACAAAAAGCAATGGTTTACATAGCCATCAATTTTCACATACCCTAAATTTAGGCTCTTCATGAATTGTTTTGCTTCATAGAAATTAGAAGGTACTTTTTCTTGGTCTTCAAGACTAAGCAATCTTCTATAGCCTTTTATGATAGCATTGTAACCAACACTAGTTATATTTTTTTTCAAATTTTGTGTGCAACATATAAGCTACCCACCCTAGCACAATTTCATTCTTATTAGAAAAACTAAGGGAGATTGTTGATGCATGAACCAAATCATAAACGCCTTTGAGTGTCTGTTGGGCTCCTCATTCAAAGGATGATTTAGGACATTTGTTTCCATTCTATGATGATTGTCATCCTCTAAACAAAATGCATCATAAACCATTTGCAAAAGTCATTTTGATGTTGCACGTATACATCATTAGTGTGTGATGATTCACCAAGATGAATTGTGAACCATGGATCTGTATTTTCATGAAAGCGTTCACCATGTGCCCACCAACTAGGATATGCATTCATACACGCATGCTTAGTAAGATGTTCCCAAATAGTTTCCCAATTATGCAAAGAGAGATCCATGCATTTAATATACAGACATCTAATATTGTCATTAGGCCTAAACCTAGGTTAACTGTATGCAAACTCAAGGAATTGTTGGAGTCCAATGAGGAATTCATCAAATATTTCTTCACAATGACTAAGTCATCTACACATTGAATGGCGTTCATTTGACATTATAAAAAAGGCTAATAATTAGATAATAAATAAATTAAATATTAAATAATAGTTTATTTCTTTGTAACAAATTTAATATAAAATATTAAAAAAATAACAAATTAATTATATACCATTAATTAATTTAAATTCCCCTATAAAATGAAACCTTAAACCAAAACTTTAAAATCAATATAAAATATACAATCATTAATTAATGAATAACTACTAATTCTCATTAATTCATCGATGAATCACTTATACATACATAATAAATCAGGACAATGATATATACACACTCTCTCGTTACATACTTTATTAACAGTTTTTGTTATGCAAACTAATGGCCTCTGTTACCTAGCCTTTTCTTCTCTCTCTCCTTTCCTTTCTTCTCTCTCTCCTTTCCTTTCTTCTTTAGCTCGTTTACTCTCCTTCAAAATTCTTAGTCTGTGGCTATGGCGTGGAACCCAAGATCAAAATTGCATCGACCTCCATTTTCTACGATTGCCCTTCCCTGACCTCCATTTTCTCCAAAATGGCACCAACCTCCATTTTCTCCAACCTCCATTTTCTCCAATTGCCCTTCTCCAACCTCCATTTTCTCCAAAACTACCACACCAAGATCTGCCACCAACCCTGTTTTTGCCTTCATTCCATCTTCACCCATATCAAAAAACCTAAGGTTTGGGCCTCTTGGATGTTGTGGGTATTCTAGTTTTGGGGATTTTTAGATCTGGATTTTAAGGGGGAGAATTAACAGTAAAACAAAAAGGTAAGAAAGGGATGGATTTAAGGCCCAACGGAGGAGATGAATTTCGTTGTTGAGATTATAGGAACAGGGACAAATTTAAATGGTTAGAATAGGTAATTAAGCGTTCTATTAGGAGCATTTTTCTTCTCCTCTACAGACTTTTATTGGCTTTCTTCCCCGACCTTCATCTTCCCCCAAAGACCTCTTCCTTTCTCGAACCTTTTCAAAATAAGGGAACACACATACGAGGCTTCAAAACCAAATTTGTAGATTTTGGTTTCATCTCCTCATCTGTAGATTTTGGTTTCATCTCCTCATCTCAAGATTTTGGTTTTATACCCTCATCTTCACTGATCTATTCTCATCTCATGGTTCTCCATTAAGAACCTAGACTAGGAGATTGAGAGGGTTTGACAGCAAGCCGGTGAGGCATTGTAGTTTATGGTAGTGAGGTAATCAAATTAAGTTTTCTTGAAATTTCTCTCTCTCTCTCTATCTCTCTCTCTCTCTTTTGGTAGAAATTTTATGTTTGATCAAATTAGTTTGGGTTCTTCCTTAATTACCAAAAAAATCTAGAGTCGAAGAAGATGGAGAAGTTTAGCAGCTGGGTGCATAATGGTATCAAAGATCGTCAGTGTGCCTAACAGACATCATTAGTGTGTGATGAGATGTGTAACGAGAAAGGGTACATATATCATTTTCCAATAAATTAATATGTACTTGAATATGAATGCAAAAAAATAATAATAATAAAACAATCAAACTTACTTTTACAATGAGAATAGTATAGTGATTTTGTCATAAACCGTAATAAAGTGAAAGCAATGTTAAAATTAATTGTTAAAGAAATGACAATTTGGTCAAAAGGTCATTGGAAAAGCATAAAAAAACCACCAAAAAAGACACTAGAAAATCAAAAAAATGATTCCAACACTTACCACACATAGTAGATCAAGTGATGTCTGTGCAAAAGGAAGGTTATGCAATGAATATTTACTGTTCTCATCAACCAAAAAACAACAAATTAGAAAATCCTAAACAAAAAAGGAAGTAAAAAACCCATATTTGGTCTAAATAGGCAGAACTTACATTTGGGGTGGAACTATTGATGAAATTCAATCAAAACTCCTAGCTTTTCTGCCTAGATTTGGTGCTGGAGTTTAGGCAGGGACCAGAAATGGTCGTGAGAAGGATGAAGGTAATGTAGAAGGGAAAGGGTTCAATGAGTTTGTGGAGAGGAGATGCCTTTTACCCACATAGACAATTATGCTAGTTGTGATTTGAAGCTAGCTATAATATCACTTGTTGCAAGTTGTAGGTTGAGGTAGCAAGCTTTTGAAGTTTGACTGGTAAACACTGATGTGCACCATAATGGAAAATGCTAAAAAAAAAAAAAAGAACTTCAACAATGTCTATTAAAATGCTAAATGAAAAATCTCAATCACCCACATCAATTGCAATGCTCAATCTCATATAGTTGAATTGACATAATATCAGCTACTGTTATTTTAAAATCTAGTATACAATACATAAATATAACAAAATGTAACAAATAATAGTAAAACATTTTGAAAATTAATTTATATCGTATTACAAACAAATATAAGAATATTTAATATTATTTTTAATTTACAAAACTTAATATAATATCATTGGGTTTAATAGTTTTTAAAGGATATATTAGAAGTTATGAATTAGAGAGTAAATAATAGCTAAAAATACAAATAAGTATATATTATTCAAAGCAAAATACAAGAAACTGTACATTATGGTTCTTAAATGGGATACAATTTGTTAATTGCATTACCCTAATATTTTTTGTCAAAAATTGCCTAGGTATGATATATTGCTCATTTTCTAAGGTTGAAAGTAACTTTGGTTGGGAATTAGCATTTTTTTATTACATTGCTTATTCTAACTTTTAGCAATACCGCACATGTTAGTTTATGTTGAAAAGTTTTGCTTTTCTTGGAAACGTAGGAGCAACATGTTGTACGTCAGTATATATTACATTCACCCAATGGTTTATGTTGAAATTTTAATTTCTCACCAAAAAATTATAGCAATGTAATCCATGTGGATAATTTTTCTCGTTTACTATTTACATTAACAGATAGACCATCTGGTATTATCAAATACGTGGGTAAAAATATATATCATACACATGCCTACTTACATCGTTGATTCTTCCTTGCTGAAACTTTGGATTTTAGTATTGACTTGTGCACTTAGACCTACATTGATTGCACTTAGCACCCCTCAAAAACTAATTGGGAGTACACAAAATTTGTGAACTAATTGATATTTTTTAATTTTTATGTCATTGTTTGAATTAAATTTGAGTTGTTTTAGTGGGCACTATAATTTTTTAATTTTATGTAATATTCAAAATTGAAAAGGATGAATTTTCTAGATTGAAAAATTTGTAGAGTCAGCTTTTTGTAATAGGAAGGACCATTTCAAAGCCAAAAAAATAGGTTTAAGAAACATTTTGAGATTGGGAAAAGTTTAGGCACCAAAATAAACTTCAATCAACAAGGGACCAAATCAGACACTAAACTAATGAAAAAGAAAAAGGAAAAGGAAAAAGAAAACAGGAAGGAAACAGATAAGTAATGCTACATTCGTTCAATTTTAATTGCTTAGTTTCTGTTTTTGACTTTGAGATATTAATTTTATATAAAAATTTAACGTAATGTTTAAATAAAAATTGAAATTCTTTTAATAAAATGAAACCATTTAACAAAAATTGCATATACAAAAATAAAAATTTTCAAGGAAAATGATTGAAGGATAAATTTTTTAAACAATTTTTCATTTTTTTTGAACAACAATATTAAACAATTTTTCATATATCCTCACATGTTGTTTATTAATTGATTCTTTTTATTCTACTAGGACCCATGATACTATATTATCTATATATTTAATAATATATAGAAGTTGTAAATAAAAGTTGTACAAAAAGTTGTATGTATATCATTATCCAATTTTCAATTGTCGTTCATATATTTTGTTATATTTTTTATTGAAATAAATATTTGAAAAGTTAAAAATTCAAAATAAGACTACTAAAATTGAATAGAAAGAATTCCAAATAGATCTTTCAATGAAGCTGCATAATTGTGTAACTTTCCTTAGGTTTTCTACTGCATATTTCAAAAACTAAAAAACAAGAACTTTAAATGGGAGAAGGCCCCAGGTTTAGGAGACTTGCTCTTGATTTAAAGGTCTCTATTATGCAATTCAGTTCGGTTTAAATTACACAATAGAATTTCAAAATAGAGGTTTCCATGTTATCTTGTGCGGCTTGTATCCCTTTTGTGGGGCTTTCATGTGCTGCATTGTGTGGCTTTTGTCCACTTAGTGTAGGTTGATGTGCTGCCTTGTGCGACTTTTGTCCCATTTTGTTGGGGTTGGTGCGCCTGTTGTAAGGGTAGTACATCGTTAAGTTTGAAGTGGGGGATTGTCTTTATTAAAAATGATTGATATATACCAAC